TTGTCAATTTATTTTTTCAAATTTTTACATAATACTATTCTTAGATTTCTCATTTAATTGTTTTTCCATTTTTTTTCTCCCCTTTAAAGCATTTTCTTTTTTGTATTTTTATTTCTCAGCTTCTCACATCTTACAGTTTTGTTTTGTTGACAAATAACCGCAAAAGAATGTCTTACAATTTTTTGTATCGATAATTTCCTGTTGCTGGTACGCGGTGCAATTGGGATACGTAATATGGAGTCTTTTCGAGAAAAATAAAAATCTGTATTTGGCCGTTCATCGTCATCACTGTCATCGTCCAAAAATACGTTTGTCACATCATTGGAATGTGATTTATATGAACAACTTTTAGTTTCTGGATACAAATCCTGAAAGAAAAAACATGATTATTTGTATGGTTATTATCGGAATTTTGCTATGGCGGTATTGAAATGGATAAGAAGAAAGAAAAGGGGAGAAAAAGAACAGGAGGTTTCCAGCAACAATTACTTCAACACTGATCAGTTTAGATATTTTTGCTACTAACTGCATTTTTCATTCCCTCTAAACTATTATCAAAAAATTTCTTCGTTTTTTGACAGAAAAAGATAGCAAAAGAAAAAAATTTTTCCTTGATATTCTTAATTTTGTTTTTTTGGATTTTCTCATCAAAAAATCAACAATAATTATGTGAAATGTTGCACAGTTGACAAATCAAATTTTTCTTTTTTTCTTCACAACAGTTGATCAGTAGATGAATGATATACCGAAAAACGGTTTGACATATGTTTGGTTTAACACCGTAAAACCGGATGGATACACGCAAATAATTCTATGAGAATCAACCGGGTTTACACACACCGACAAAAACAACAACGATACCAATGACGACGACGACGATGACGATGATGTCAACAATAGTAACGAAATCAACAGAAAGCAGCTACAGAAGTGACGACAAAAACTGATCAGCATTTTTTTTTTTTTTGCTTTTCATCAAATATCTCATAGAAAATTTTGTGAAAACATTTGTAACCAGAAAAAAAGAGATAGTAATCCGTAAAAAGAAAGAGGGAAAAATACACAGTTTGATAGGACGAGAAAATTGACTAGACACTGAAACATGCATCTGAAATTTGATTCTACAAATACTTATCAAAAAAAAAAAA